TGAGATCAACTCATCCATACTGACATTGTTTCACGAGTTCACCAACTTCAGTTCCTAACTTTCTGTAGTCCTCACTCTCTCCCAAGATTGAGAATTTACCTCCAGCTTGCTTTAAGAACAATATATGGTGCTGGTCTAACAGTTCTCATTTAGTCAGAGAAGAGGTTTGTAGAAGCTCAGGCAGATCTATTTTAAGCTTTCAGATTATACTGCAAACTGGTTTCATCTGTGGGTGGATGAAGTTTAAGAGTAATAATTAAACTAGCAACCAAGGAAGCTGGAAGTAGAGCTCCAGACTCTCAGTATATTTTTTGCTGGAGACCTGCCAGGCTCCCTTCCAGAATATGAGTGTTAAGTAAGAACACTCCAGCAAACACACCAAGTATTTATACTTGATCAGGTGCTAATACAGGCCTAGGGTTCACCAGGGTGGTAGCTTGGAAGCAGATGAGCAAGGGGTCACACATCAGCAATAGTTTTCAGTTAGTAACCAGAAGTTTGCAATAGGAGTTTTAACATCCCTCTCCATGAATTAGCAAATTCAAGCCATGCATTCATTGCAAGCCTGGTATTCCACATCAGCTCTGCTTGATATGGTACCTGTAAAATAGCCTTGAAGCTCACTTCAGCTCTCTGGTGTTAACAGAGCCAAATACAAGTCATGGGCATCTTCAAAGAAGAAAAGCTGAACAGGTTATAGGTAGCTGGCCACAAGTACAGTATCAGGTAGTCAGAGGTGTCTTAAAGAGAACAAGGGAGTCTGAGCCCTAGGACAGGCGGGATATTACAGCTTTTGGAGTGACAGGCAAGAAACCAGTACCGGGAGTCAGGACCCTATCAGACAGTTGCCAGCCTCAAGGCACACCATAGCAAGAGCAACCAACATCACCCTGTTAGGAAGACACTCTCACAACACAAGTCTAGAGGGACTACAAAGACCACAGCTGGAGGACAGCAGGAGTAAGCCATGCAGAACACTTTCTATCTAATTCTGCACAGCCTGACACTTCCAATACTTAGCAGCACACTATTAAATCTGCACAGCCTCAGTGGGGCTGCATCCTGAGTCTTATCATACTTCTACAACCATTTGGGTACAATCACACAGCAGAATACCATCTACTTCTCTCCTCTGCTCCGAACCCAGTAACCCATTAATAATGCCTTTTCTCCTCAGTGTCGAAGTGTTTGTCCTAGTGCACAGAGCAGATTTGCTATCGAAAGTGACAAACTAGTGAAGTGGAGTCAAGTAGTCACATGCAAGCAGAACTTCCTTTTTTTTTAAAAAGGAAAAAAAGGAGAGAAATCCACACTGACACTTCACCATTTGTCTTACCTTCCTGTGCAGAGATCTGCTCTGAAAAGCAGATCTCAATTAGCTTGCATGCCTTCCAAGAGCTCTGTGAGAGAGCAACAACTCAGTTTTACAGCTAACTCTGCAATGGACCCTGTCATGCATCCTGAGGGATTGTTTCCTCCTGCACATTTCCCTCTCACCTGATGTCAAGAAAAAAAAAAAGGGTCAGTACTGCTTAGGTTCAGCTTTAGCTGTCTCCTTATTTGGAGGCTAGCAAGGGTAAAGGGAGAATAAGCTCGAAAAAGCTGATGGTGGTCAGGAATCAAGACAAACAATGTTTTATGCAATTAGACTTGAGGGGAACAGAAAGATCTTTATAGAAGATCTGGCCAATACAGAAATGCTTCAGAGACAAGAATCTACAACTCGAGTGTTCCATGTTTGCTGCAGAACCACTGCAAAAGCCAAGTACTTAGCCAGAAATGTCCGTTTCATTTAAAAGGTTAGGTGCTGCTCAGAAGTCAAGGTTTCCTGGCTCTTAGAACAGCTCCCTCCTGCAAGTCAGGATGAAGATGTTATTTCAGACAATGAAAGCTCTGCAGCCCTCTTCAAAAGATTCAGAAAACTTGAGACTAGTCTACGTAGAGGGCCTCAGAACCACGGAAGCTACAGAAAACAGCACAGAAGGTTTTCCTTCCCTTTCTGGTGACCTACTGCTCTAGTAGCATTAGCCGCTGTTCTCAAACAGCAACCAAAGGTTATGAGACTTCAAAGTTAGACAGGGTCTAAGCTACTACATTATTCCCATGTTTGAATCAAAAACCAACAGGAGACATGCAGACAGCGTTCCTGTCCTCCAGGTTCCTCTGACTCAGGACAAAGTAGCGTTCTTACTCAGCAGCCCCAAAAAAGCAAGGAAAGGATGCTTCAAAGAATGCAAAGCAGTGATGGCAGAGGTTCAACCACTTCAGGCTGCACATCTGTGGCACTGGAAATTGAACCACTGCTTTATGGGCAGGCAGCTTCCCTTACTTCTGCACTTTCTCCCCTCAGAGGATTTCAGTCTTAGGTACTTTTATCTTGCAGCAGTGTTTAGGAAGCATTTGCTCAGAGCAGGTAAGAATGCAGAAAAAGCAAGTTATCCAGTCCACGGTGATGGCGTAGCCCTTGCTACTATCCCTCAGCCAGGGGGATGTCCTAGTACAGGCCTGGTTATGGACAGTGGTCCTTAGAGAAGCTTACTGACTCAGAGCCACTTTGAAGCAGGAGACTTCAACCCAAACTTCTCCTGCAGTGCCAACCTCCACCAGACTCTCCAGAAAGGCCCTTGGAAAGGCCAAGAGAGCAGACGAGCACAGCTCCTATTCAAGAATCAATAAAGAACAGTTGCAGAGCTTTAAGCCTGAGTCAGACCTGACTACTGACCTCCCTCTGTTACCCAACTATTGGAGCTATCCACACATTATTAGTTGATTAGTGAGCCAGCCTTTCAAGAGATTAATGACCCACCACCAGAAAGTAAGACCAAGAGACATACTAACCACCTAAAATGCAGTTTTACCCATTTACCTGCACTTAACCATACCCGCTCTCCAGACTACTCAATACACAGTGCAAGCAGTTGAAGTTTATTATTGCCTTAAAGTTAAGAACATCTGTTTGTTCACTGAAGTTTTTCCTGAGGTGGGAAGGAAGTCAACTCCTTTTTTTCTTGCTAGTGCAGAAGGTATTAAGCAGAAGAAGGGACATCCCTCACACAGCAGAGCTGTTGGACTCCTACCATCAGGAGGATCAGATGCTTGGCTTTTTCTGCTAATTCAGCTAGAAGGAAAAAAAGAATGCTGCTCTCTTCCTACTGGAAATCCTTTTTTCTGCAAGGCTTATTACCCTAGTGCCATTTCCAGGTCAACCACAGAACTGCTCTTGAGTCTAAAAATCACTTACCTCAGCCCCTTTTTGCTCTCCCCTTTAGAGTATTTCTGTGCTGCCAAGTGCCTAGAACAGGACAGTACTACATACAGGTACTGGAAGATGGGCTTCACCTGTGTTGCCGGTGGGAAAAATGGGCAAGAACCTTCCTACTGAGGAGAAGTTAACTGACACAGCCTGAGGCTAGAGAAGTATTTCTGCTCCTAGGTTATCAGGGATGCTGATACATTTCTCAGACGCCTCAAAACAGTAAAGCAGAGAGGAGCTTGCTTGCACTCCAAAAGCAAAAAAGCTCTTTAATACAGCTGAGGAAAGAAGTTATAGGGTGTGAGCTGCTCCTCAGAACAGAGCTTCTCACCAGCTACGGAGCACTGTGGATGGACAGTGCTAACAGAGTGAGTACAGTACCTCTGCTGCACTCCTGAGCTGTCAGAAGACCCATGAAGGCAGCTGCCAACTCCTATTGCTACAGGCTGGTCAGACAGCAACCTAGTTACATGAGTAAATCCAGTTGGCCACAGACAAAAAACTCCACAATTCCTACTCCCACCTTACACACATACCCTCTTCTCTCAGAGGGCCATCAACTCTTTGACAAGTTTCTTAGATGAAGGCATATGTTCCCAGAAGGAAGGTAAGCCTGGCTTCTCACTTGAGCCACAGCAGGCAAACGTTCAAGGAGAGGGCTCCTTACACGGGCAGGAACAAGTGCTGAATCTGTACAGTACAGTTACATGGCAGCAGAAGGTGACACATGGAAGAGGCCAGACTACCTTGACTCATTCCCCTAGAGCATGGGAGTGTATCGGATCAGACACTGCTGGCAGCCCCAAGGCTTCTGGAGGCTCCCAGATCCATCCTGCCCAGAAGCAGCTCCACACTCCCCAGGACAACAGACATAGGAAGCACCTCTTGCCACCAGCAGCTCTGTAACACTTCATACGCACACCAGCTGGCCCAGAACTGCTTATTATAAAGTTTCAAACCGATCTCACCCCTTGCAACCTCTGCTCCCGGGAAATCCTATCTTAACACATTCCAGGAAGTCTGCCCAGAGAGATACTAAGTCCTTGCAAGAGTAGTTAACGTTATCAGCAGTGCTGTGCTGCCACTACTGCTTTCACATTCAGGAATTATCACATCCAAGGCCCACACATAGGCAAAGCACTTTACAAAGCTGGCTAGTGTCCTGCGGACACACGCCAGAGCTAGGGAAGGGAAAGCAGGCACAGATACTCCTGCAGCAGCATCCTTTCCATATTACACCGCTGGTAAGAAGCGAGCAGGAGCTCAGCTCTGGAAGGGACAATTGCAGACAAGCTGATGGCAAGCTCGGTGACAAGGAAACAACAGCAGCTCCAAGCCTTCGCCATGAGGACTACAGGAAGGAGACAGCGAGGGAGTTGCAGCAATTCCTGTTCAGACCCATCTGTAGAGGGTATGAGCCACAGGAAGATACGATCAGCAAAATCTTGCCTCTCGCACCCACTCCGGTGAGAGAGGGAGCACAGGTGTCCCAGCTGGCCCCTCGCACAGAGAGGCACGATGCCTGCAGCCCCCACACCGGGTGCCGCCTTCCCCCCCGAGCAGCCCCGGGCTCTTGCAACGGATGTCAGCAGCGTACAGGGTTTCATTTCCCTACGGGCAGCCAGGGATGCAGCCGGGGAAGGGGATGTGGTGGGGAGACACGCAGCCCTTCTCCCTCCTCTCCGCGCTCCGCTTCAAAAGCAGAGACCCCCCCGAATGCCGCGCCCCCCTTCCCCGGGGGCCATACCTTGTCGGCGACGCTGCGGGGCAGGAGCAGGTCGGGGCTGGGGGTGAGCGCCGGCCCCATCTCCTCGCTGCTGGACGTGGCCAGGGGATGCGGCATCTCCCGCAGCGACTTGGGCCCGGAGGACGGGAGAGGCTTGGGGGCGCCC